TCTCAAAAAAAAAAAAAAAAAAAAAAAAAAGTTATTGTACACTGTACTTTGTTAGGTGAGAAGAAACATCAGAAGCAGCTGAGGGACTAAGAAGTGGGTTCTGTAGGCAGAAGACATTCTGCTGGAGCCTTTGAAAATGTTTCCTGTAGTACCACCTACTTGCCTCATTAACACTGGTTTTCAAGAAAGTCTCTCCTTGATTTTATAAACCTATTTCTTGTTCTGTTATGAATGCACGCTGCTCTAGTGCTTCAGTCAGCCCATCACCATGCTGCCTATAGGTGCAGAGTTAATGACATTATCTTCATTATCGCCATAATCATAATCACCTTGCTTCAGAAGCAATTTAGCTCTTTTGCCATCAGTTAAAATCAGTTAATGAATGAGCAACTGAAGCCTCATTATCAATGTTAAACACTTCTTTCATATAGTCTTCTTCCAGTTTACGGCTGGACTCTGAAGATATCATTTTTTGCATAAGTAAGGAGGTCAGACATCATTTTTTTCTCACTTGACATACTTCAAAGTCACATATTTGCTCCTCATCATCACTAAATGTAGTCGCAGGCAGAGGCTACAGGCATACACAACTGAGTCACTGTGTTTCAAGTGCTGGCATATACAGCATCCTTCATCCTAAACTCCTGAAAACCTTCCACACCCATGCCTCAGTTTACTGCTGCTAGCATGCTGCCCAAGATGTTTTTACAGTTACTTCTCACTCATCTTAGAACACCCTGGTCATGAGCTTGACATAATGAAACATTATTTTTGAAATGAGAATTTCAGCCAGAGGATAAGCAGAATAGTTGTCAAGGAATCACAAAATCTTGTAGTCATCACCTGGCCTAGCCTCCCATTAAGTACATAAGAGCTGCTGGTATAAAATGTTTGTGAAACCAATCAGAAAGATGTCCCCCAGGGATCCATGCCTTTTTTTTTTTTTTTTTTTGGGAGGGAGTTTCGCTCTTGTTACCCAGGCTGGAGTGCAATGGCGCGATCTCGGCTCACCGCAACCTCCGCCTCCTGGGTTCAGGCAATTCTCCTGCCTCAGCCTCCTGAGTAGCTGGGATTACAGGCATGTGCCACCATGCCCAGCTAATTTTTTTTTGTATTTTTAGTAGAGACGGGGTTTCACCGTGTTGACCAGGATGGTCTCGATCTCTTGACCTCGTGATCCACCCACCTCGGCCTCCCAAAGTGCTGGGATTACAGGCTTGAGCCACCGCGCCCGGCCTGCCTTTTTTTTTTTAGTACAATGACTAGTAAGAAATTCATTCCCAGGCCAGACGCTGTGGCTCACCCCTGTAATCCCAGCACTTTGGGAGGCCGAGGCAGGCAGATCATGAGGTCAGGGGATCGAGACCATCCTGGCCAACACGGTGAAACCCCATCTCTACTGAAAACTACAAAAATTAGCTGGGCATGGCGGCGTGCGCCAGTAGCCCCAGCTACTTGGGAGGCTGAGGCAGGAGAATTGCTTGAACCTGTGAGGCGGAGGCTGCAGTGAGCCGAGATCGCGCCATTGCACTCCAGCCTGGCGCCTGGCAACAGAGCGAGACTCTGTCTCCAACAAAAAAAAAAAAAAGAAATTCATTCCTTTAAAATAGTGAGGACGAAAGCTTTTGCCTACCATAGCAAGTTCACATTTATGCCTGCTGCATTAGCACATTCCAGCACACCTATTCTGTTCCTTGCATCCTCAATTCCTGTAGGAGCTGCCCCCTCAGCTCTACGTAGTCAGTGTCTTTCTGGGTCAATAATGGCAAAATAGTGATGTTTCATCAGCATTACTGACTGGTTCTGGAGTCAGATTTTCACATCAGAGACAATCTTGGCAAATTCATCAATGAATTTCTCTGCTGCTTTGTGATCAAGATGCTTTACCACCACATACCTTTAAAAAAGTTAATGCTATCTTATCTTAAATATCTCTAAGCAGCCTACTGAATATTCACAGTTCCCTCTGATTTTCAGTTCATTTTCATAGATCTTTGCTTTTTTACTGATCAGCATGGCGTTAAGTGGCACATGTTCACTGCAATGCTGATGGTGGATCCACCCTTTCAATACACGATCAAGATCTTTGCTTTTAACTTTTTTTTTTTTTACATTAACTTCTGTTCATCACTTTCAGCATGGAATGTCAACAGTTTAGGAAAGCTGTTCTTTTAGGTCATATATAGCGCTCGTTCCAACATCATCATTCTGTAAGAAGTTTCTCACTTATACTGTTGTCCAGTTTTTCCAACAACTTAAATTTTTGTGCTATAAATAAAAATAAATGCCTCTTCTTTTTCTTATCAGTGTTACCCACAAGGGTATCTGCAGGCCTTTTAAACATGTTAAACAGGCTAGGTGGGGTGGCTCATGCCTGTAATACCAGCACTTTGAGAGGCTGAGGCAGGCGGATCACTTGAGGCCAGGAGTTTGAGACCAGTCCAGCCAACATGGTGAAAACCCCATCTCTACTAAAAATACAAAAATTAGCTGGGCATGGTGGTGGGCACCGGTAATCCCAGCTTCTCAGGAGGCTGAGGCAGGAGAATTGCTTGAACCTGGGACGCGGAGGTTGTAGTGAGTCAAGATCGCACCACTGTACTCCAGCCTGAGCCACAGAGGGAGACTCTGTCTCCACCCACCCACCCAAAAAAAAAAAAAAAAAAAATTCTCATTGTAAACAGTATCTTTAATGAGAGAAAAGAGAGTAAAAAGCCCATAGTGAGTGATGCACACAGGTCTTGGCCCCATGTGGGGCACCACGAGGAGCCTGCTGTTGGCACACTGGGCCTGCACACGTACCATTTTAGTACCCTTCGGAGGTGTGCTTGTGTGGGGGAATTCGGGCATGTGTGGAAAAGATATACAGCAGCTTGGGTCTTTTTTCCCTTGAGGACACTGAATAAACTGTGTGTTGTGTGCCTGCGTTTTTACTATGACCTCTCATGAAGTCCTTTGTGGAATTTTCCATCTGTGGTGTCATCATACTCAAAAGTTTTTGATTTTGGACCTTTAAGGGGTTTCAGATTAGAGATGCTCAAACTAAGTATCTACCGCAGAAAAGGCTCTAAGAGACTACTAGCTTTTAAATGTGCAGATTTTGTAAAGCTAGTTTTATTATAGAAAAATCACATAAACAAAATAATAAAGGAGAGTCTTAACTGGTAGATTCAAAGATACATACCTGAAAGATAGGCTCTGATAATCCTAGAAGCACCCTCTGAGCATTTCTAGGGCCCAAAAACCGATGTACAAGGGAAGACCAGCCCAGGGAAAAATGAAATACGATATCCTCTTGAAAATCTGAACATAACTTGTGGTAATTTAGATTATAACTGAGATCAAATTTCTTGCAAGAGATCAGTGTATGTAGTTTATCCTGTATACCAGCTGGAAGTAACGGCTTCAAATTTTCTAGAAAGAACAAAATTACAACACTTATTTTAAGAAAGAATAGTAAATGTTTTACCTTCCATGGAATGCCTAAAGGAAAATACGCTCTTGACCAGAGTTATGAATGAAAAAAGAAACCAGACACCACCTTGTAGCCATAAATATTACCAATAATTTCTTCCTGGGACTGAAGCACTAAGGCGTTTACTTCATCGGTGCATCGATCAGCCAACTTTCTTCCCATCCTGTCCTCTATGTGCTTATTTAAATCCTATTAACAATGGTAAATATCCATATTATTTTTGTCCAGAAAGCATGCAGTTTTTATAAAGACGTAAAAAATGCAATAAATGCTAAAATGGTCTTTTTGATTTTTTTTTTTTTTTTTTGAGACAGGGTCTTGCTTTGTTGCCTAGGCTGGAGACCTTTCATCTTGATTCATTGTAGCCTCAACCTCCTGGGCTCAAGTGATCCTCCTGCCTCAGACTCCTGAGTAACTGGGACTATAGAATGTGCCACCACGCTCAGTTAACTTCATTTTTTGTAGATTAGAGGTTTTACTATGTTGCCCAGACTGGTCTCAAACTCCTGGGCCCAAGTGATCCTCCCACCTCCGCCTCCCAAAGTGTTGAGATTACAGGCATGAGCCACTGTGTCTGGTCCTAAAATGATCTTAATCTCATTCTAAGTATAAATTTTCTATGTACTTTTTATACAAGATACATTTATTACAAGAAGGCACAAGAGATATAACAGTGTCATTTTGTACTGATTGCCATGAAGACACTAAAATGCCAAACCATTAAATAAAATAATTGAGGGTATAGAAGAAGAAACTGTCTCTGAATAATTTTAACTGTATTTTAACTTACACTTTTATATATTTTTAGTACATCTGGAGTAGGATGAAACTCTGAACAAAATTCATCAACCAAAACAGACAGTCGACAAATTTCATCTGTCATTGCACGTGACACCTAAAAATATGAAGTCAGAGTTAAACAAGATTATTAATTAGTCAAAAAAATTAAATTGAAAATCCTAAAACATTCTTTTAAAGGAACAATAACATTTTTAGCATTATCAAAAATAATTTCCACCCAAATAATTTTCATCACGAAGCTGCTGTTACCCACTTTGTCTGCCACCTCCTCAGTAACCTCCTTGATTTTTCTCTTAACATCCAGTGTTAAAAGGTTCATCTGGTTTCGGATAAAGTCCAGTCTATCAATCTGGTCTTCCCTCTCTTCCACGGAATAAGCCCTATTACAGTACAAAGAGTAATCAAAATTCAGGGTATACTGAAATCCTAAAGCATTTCAGCATGGGACTAATTCATGTATTGAACCATCTATTAGCATGACTCACGAAAAAAAAAAACTTGTAACATCTGAAAGGATTCAAGTAATATTTCACTTATAAAATACTTTATATAGACGGTTTGATATAAGCTAAGTTTCTCTGCCCATGTGGCACATGAATCCCAGAAAGGATTAATAAGAATTCTAAGTCTTCAAACACTATTTCATAGAACTGAACAGGCAAAACAGAATGTAATACTGACTTTAGTTAATAAGCAGGGGTCAGCAAATGGCACCTTACAACCCAAATCCAGGCAGCTGCCAGCTTTTGTTAAAGTTTTCTTGAAACACAGCCACGCCCATTCATTTACCTATTTTCTATCTATGGCTGCTTCTGCTCTAAAACTGTTAACAATGAGTAGCTCCAAGAGACTTTATGGCCTATAAAGCCTAGAATATTTATTGTCTGGCTCTTTTTTAAAAAAAGTTTGTTCACCTCTAGCTGATATAGGAAAAAGAAGAGCTGAGATCCATTTAAGATCTTTTATTTAAGTGTTCCCAGGACTTTATGATTATACAATCCTCAAATCACATCTTCTCTGTGCTATACTTTGTTCAATGTCCTATGCCTTTAAAAATTATTACTAATTAAGTCAATCTTACAGACCAAAATTTGGGCACTACATCAAAGCAACTGAGCTAGAAGGAACTTCTATAACAGAGCACAATCTCATTAAACAGAGGTGATATCGGAGGTTCTACAGAGGGGCTGAGCTCAGACTCGGGGTTCTGATCCTTGCGTTTCATATGCTGGCAGTTCTCTTCATTTGAACATAATTCATTCCTAAGAAAGTACCATTATCAAGCAACAGACTTAGATGGGATATGAGGGGGTTTTTGTTCCCAGCAACAGCAAATACATTTAACATTCCAGTGTTATGTCATCGTGGACTTAAAGTTGGATGCTTTTATGTTTCTTTCAACTGGCTTAAGTCCACTCAAGGTCCTATTGAGGCTTAATATCATTACTTTTGTCACATCTAATAACATCACAATCTTTGTTTTAAGCATACCAAGTTTGTGAGAATTATACTTTGTATCAATAATGTTGGTATTTTCATATATTCATTGCCACCTTTACACGGTAACAAATAGTATAAAATAATGCAGTACAGTGTATCATGAAGGGTACTGCTTACCAAATCAACTTTCTGGTTGGCAGGTAGCATCACCTTGTTTTTTCATCAGGCAATAAACAAATAAACAAAAATAGTATAAAATAGTGATTTCAAAATACCAATGTATGACTATATCAAAAAATGGGCTGTGGGTTGAACACAAAGAGGATCACCTGTTTTGGACTTCTTCATAAAAATCTGCTTGAAGAAATGCTTCTTCCACTGCTTTAAAGATATTTTAAAGCCACAAAACATTTTAAAAATCACAATTCATACACGGGAATAGTGAGGTCCAGGGAAAATAAATGATGTATGCAAGTTTGCAGAATAAGTATCAACACTTTCAAATATTCACTTAAAAATACAAAAGTAGGCATGAGTGAAACACACAAGGTTGATTTCAGTGTAAAAGGTATTTATAGTACAATTTAAAACCTCAGTCTTAACAAAAGTCTGACAAAAATACTAACATTTTTATGTTGCAATAAAATGAACTCGTACCTTTTCTCTTCAGCTGCCACGTTTATTGAATCCATTATGTTTTTCACAGTAGCTAGTATCTGTTTAGCTCTGATAGTGTGCTGTTCAAACTTTGTTTTCACTGCTGATTGCGAGATACACTCCTGCGAGGGGCCCAAGCCATAACACATTACTGTAATTCCATCCCAACATTTTCAGGAATTCAAACACAAAAACTTGCTGTTTGTAACTTTAACCCAAACAGGAACAGAAAATAAATAAGTGATAAAAGCACAACTTAAAATTACAAAGGTGAAAGAAATACAAAGATTCAAAAGTAAAAAGGGCTTTAGCAGCAAGTTAACATCTTTGTGTATTTTTACACAGTAATGTGCAATGGTTTGACTCTAACACACAAAAAAAATAAACAGGGTACTATTTTCAACGTTAAAAGATTTCCTCATTAGAATAACTAATTTTATCTAATTAGTAATTTTATCTAATTAGAATTACTAAGTTTATCTAGATCACCTTTAATCCAATTCTAGTCCATCTATCTAGATTCTTCTCATACTTGCAACAGATATAACCTAGTAAAGTTCTTAAGATGTGAATTAGAACAATTCCTTATTTTTAAAAATAGCTGAATGATACAATGATTCCTGTAAGTTTGCTAAAAAGGACTTCTTTGGGTTAAAATGTGAAGAATTTGAAAGCTAACATTTAACAACAATGTAACATCTTCCATTGTTTATAGAAAAATATTTGCAGTTATTTAGAAGATAATTGTAATTACTTTCATTACAATATAGTGTATACACAAAGGCCTGGATCATGCCCTGTCTCATCTGCTTCACCTTCAAGCTAACTCCAGCTCACAACTCATTAATAGTTGTTATAAATCAGTGTTTTATACCAGTTGTCTATTTAAATAAAAAAAATCATAATGCATCGCATATATTAATGGATACATTTGTAACATTTTTGTTTCAATTTTCAATATATAAAATACTTGTTATCTAATATATATATATAATATATATACATATTTTTTTTTTCTTTTTTGAGACAGTCTCACACTGTCACCCAAGCTAGAGAGCAATGGCATGATCTCAGCTCACTGCAACCCCCATGGCCCAGGTTCAGGCGATTCTCTTGCTTCAGCCTCCCAAGTGGCTGGAATTACAGGTGTGCACCATCATGCCTGGCTAATTTTTGCATTTTTAGTAGAGACGAGGTTTTGTAATGTTGGCCAGGCTGGTCTCCAACTCCTGACCTCAAATCACCTGCCTACCTCGGTCTCCCAAAATGCTGGGATTACAAGAGTGAGCCACTGCACCCATCCTACGAATATATATTTACTATGATTTATCATTTAAAGTTTATAAAATTGTTATATTACAATTTGTCTTATATCATTTTAATTCTTAGTCAAATTCTACACTGAAATACAGCACAGTAACTACTATAGATGCTTTTTAACAGACAGGTTTATTTTCTATGATACATTTCTAAAAATTAGGGATATATTAATTCTGATACTCCAATGAATTCATCTGCTTGAACCATTATATATTTAGCTAATACAAACTGTGGTGATTGCTTCCTGAAGTTCATTACTGTCCTTCCTTTGTCAAAATAAATGGCTTTTAAGCTTCAAAAGGCATTTACATAATACTAGGGCTACATTTGTTGTCCTGAAATCATTAGCATGCTACATGTCATTCAATGTCCTATTTATGACCTATGTTTAGCCTTCATGTGTCTGAAATTATTTGTGTACTTAGAAAGACTATAATGTCTTTCGTCATTTTAGATCCCTGCTTCATCATTTTGTTTGAAGTACAGAAAACAAAACATTATTTAGCTATAGAGCACATGAGGGTAATTCATTTAGTCAACATTTAACTCTGAAGCCATTATTTCTTGCACTGCCTAACTTCACTTTTGCCCATGGTTAAGCTCATTCAGGCATCATTCATTTTCATTGACTTTGAAAAGGTTAATGTAGGAAGTAATAGTATTCCTGTTCTGTACACAACTGAAGATAAAACATCCCTGGATGTTTTCTTCTTTAAAATCACCAATAATTACACAATAGTTAACATTTGTAAACTACTTATTTTTTAATAACTAAAAGAATGCCTTGCTTTTATTTTAAATGCCTCATAAATGTGTCAAATTAACTTCTGCAAAAAATAAAAGCATAAAAATATTTTTAAAAGGAAAAAGATTAAAATAAAGTATCTACTCCTCGATGAAGCAGATCTAGATACCAGCAATGAAGTTCCAAATTTGTAGATAACAGCACAGTGTTAGAGCTAGACCAGACAGAAAAGATCCCCAAAAGTTATTAGGCAATATGTTACTCTCTGATTCAAAAATATATAATAATGAATAAGTATAGAGAAGAAAATAAGCAATCTTCTAATTAAAAAGTATCCCAGACTAGTGTTCCACTGAGCTGCAGGAAATTAAGAGGTACCTTGATAAAAGAACATTCTATTCCAAATAAGTAGGGGAAGTGTCAATTTAAATAAAGTTTCCCTTATAAGTTATTTCTCAGCATCCTTAATACACTAATATGGTAATGAATCTCTGTGGGGAACATATATAGTATGCAGCAGTTCCCAGACTTATTTCATCAGGAACTCTAATCATACATTAATAATGTTAATATTTATACGTGTAATTAAAACCAACAAACTTGTCAATTTCCCTTGAAAATAGACCCTATAAACACTTAACAACATGCTATTCATCACTGCCAACTTATTTTGACATATTTTCAATAGGAAAGTACAAAAGATATACCTTTCATCTACATATATCAAATATTAACATTCAGCCCATTTTCTTTACTTTTCTTCTCTCTCCATACACATACTCCACACTCTCTCTCCTGTGTGACAGCACACATACATATATTAAAAATGTATGCCCCCCATATACATAGAGGCATACATTTTTATATATCCTTATGTATCATTTTCCTTCCTGAACATTTTTACAGGTCATTACTGCATCACAAGCTTATTATTAAATACATCAATGCTTGTTTTCTAAGAAAGGGAACTTCAGCTGCACAAACATGAAACAATTGTATTCAGGATATTTACCATTGAGACAACACTATTAACTAACAAACAGTTCATGTTCAAATTTCACTGTCATCCAGGAATGTCCATTATAAAAAATACACTGACATTTTAAATAAGTTATTTTTATACATCTATCTCCCATCATACAACGAAAGCTAGTAAGAATTAATGGTGAAATATCTGGGCAAAAGAAATCTGGATTTCTAATGTGCCTTAGAACAATGCAGTCCAAATGCATTTTGAAACTTTCCAAATCCAGTTTTAAAACAATAAGAAAATGTATTCATAGACTAACATTAATTTTCCTTTCTTCCTTTTTTTTTTTTTTTTTTTTTAAAAAAAAAGAAAAGAGACAGAGTCTCACTCTGTCGCCCCAGCTGGAGCACAGTGGAGCCTCCAAGGTCGCATGAGCCACCAACGCCCAGTCTAATGTTGATTTTCTTAATTGCTTTTACTCAAGTTAATTTTCAAGCCTGTTTAACTTAGTATTCTAAATGTTTAAAATACTTAGCTCTGTTTTAACCAAATGAATCTAAACAACTCCATGACAATGGTCAGACTGATTGATAAAAATGATGAACTTTAACACAGTTTTTCTTTTCACAGAAAATCTTGCAAGACCACAAAGAAAAATAAGCAAATCCCCAAAACACAGAGAAAATGTGTATAAAACCCACATTATGTGACCACAACACAAAGAAACCAAGAAATTATAACCAAAAATTAGATAAAATGAATCAAAACACTTGAATTTTAAAAACTCTTATATTGATAAGGAAATGCCAAAAATAATAATTAGAAACAAAAAAACCCCAAAAACTAAACTAGTACTGAAAACGCTGGGATACGCCCAAAGCTGAACTCAGAAATTCACAATCTTGAATCTAAAGAATAAGCAAAAACCAACGCATTTTCAAAGGAAACAATGTTAAACACAGAACTTAGTGAATACAACCCCAAAATCATATTTACTAAGTGATAAATCACATAAAAGCTGGGGCTGGGTCTTTGGATGGTAAATCACCGGCAAACCCAATTAAGGGTCAGGGAGGGTGTGCGTGTGTGTGTGCCTGTGCGTGTGTGTGTGTATGTGTGTATGTGGTAGATACACATTTATATTTAAATATGGAAGTGAAACAAGAGATTCAAAACAATTTTATGCTACTAAATTGTAAATTTTCAGAAATACATCAACTTCCAGGAAGGAAATCGGAAATTACCAAAACTAGTTTAAGAAGTAACAAATACCAGTTTTGGAATAAAGCTGACTAGAACTTTCAATGTAATTAATCATCAAAAAATGCTTTGTCTCTTTTTAACACATTCAGACGCAGTATTTTTTTACCCAGCTGATTATTTGTTTAGATAAACACAAGTAATTTTTAACTGATTCTCATTTTAGATATTTCAGACTTAATTTTCAAACTCTAAAGCTGGACATTCCAAAAAAAGTTACTGCTCATAAGCAATTTTTTCCATACATAAATTTTAGAATCCCAGGTGGACCATTAGAATAAAACATAAACTGACAAGTTTCCTCTAAAAACATTTGAAAAGAATAGTTCCTAAGTGTGCTGATTACTGCAATCACTTGGGAAGCTTTGAATATATATGTACATAGATTCCTAGACCCACCTCAACCCCCCTGGATCTGGGGTTGGGGATAGGACAAGTCAGGAGCCTGCGGTTCTCTACAGCACCTGATGCGATTCTGATGACTGGCCAGGCTTACAAACCAACGCCTTACAGCCTATCGTTTATCTTCCATTCCCACCTCCTCAAGGAGATATTCTGGGGAAGCACAAGCTATAACATGAACCAATATGGAAACGGTATAAATGTGTGACAGAACATTACACAGTTATACACTCTACCAAATGTACAATTTGATAGAAGAAATCAATGATAAACATACATAAAACACACATATATAAAGGTCAATAAATAAGGAAAGACAAGGTAATAGAACAGATCATCTCCCTACATATTTTCCCCATGAATGAACTGGTAACAGTGAGGAGAGGAGGCCAAGGTGCGAGGATCATTTGAGCCCGTAAGTTTGAGGCTCAAAGGCGCTATGATTGTGCCACTGCACTCCACCCTGGGTAACAGAGGTAGATCCCATTTCTTTAAGAGAAAAAAAAGGTGAGGAGAGCATCAATCCTTTGGTAAAAGCAAAAGGAAAAGGAAAAGAAACAATGGTCTTTGAGTAACCAGGACTTTACGTATCTTATGGCTTGGTTTCGAGGACATCTACTGATATTCCAGGAGCCTCTGAACAATCAGAGATCTTACCGAGGTAGCTGGCAGTGGGTTTGCTTTCTTCCAGTTTGTCTTCATCTATGTAATCAACTTTTTCTCTCACCAAATTAAAGATGAGAGATAGTAAGCAAATTTATTTTTAAAATCCTGCCAAGTACACTCAACATTCATGTCCCCTCTATTAAGGCAGCTACTACTTAGCAGAAAGAATAATTACAGAATGAGGTTTCTTCAATGCTGACGTCATCATGTTCATTCCTAAGTGGGAAAGTGGTATGAATTATATAGGGGAAAACACAGGAGTTCAGAAGGTTAACATCTAAATAATTTTTCAGTCAAATGTAGGGTGTTTTAATGTCTCTGAATAAAAACACCTATACTACAATGTAAGAAACTAGCCTCCCTCCCCATCTACCACTCAGGCACTTCAGGAGTTTCCTACAAGATTCTGAAAATGCTGAAGCTATTTTTTACTCAATTATTAATTTCGGATGTTTGGCACAAAAATATGGAGAATGGACATGGGGCAATACAGTTTATAAATGTAATAAAATTTTGTCAAATGGCATTTATCATGTTCTTTATACTTGTATTAGTCATGTGGCACAAAGGAAAAGGATAATACCTACTTTGCTCTATTACCCATTCAAACAGCAATTACATTTGTTTGCTCTTGCTCCAAATTATTAAAGACGGAGAATTTCATTCATTGTACAACACAGCAATATTGGAACACAGTTTCTTATTTATATATGTGTGTGTGCATATGTGTGTGTGTATACATATATATATACATGCATAAAAAATAAGAATAAGGAAGAAACTAATTCTCAATTCTTACAAATCATTTTGCAGGGTCTTCCTTTCTTCAGACTTTCCACGTTTTACTGGCTATGTCAGTAACCGAACTAAATATAACAGCAAAAGTTATTGACAACGGCAAATGATAAAAATAGAAGATTATGCTTTTCCAACCAAGGAAAGAGTTTTGTATTAGGCAAAACATTCATAAAATTCCTACCTCAAAGATTTGTTCAAAATTCTGAAATTCCTGTAATCTTGCCTGAAATCCTTCAGCAAGTGCTCCACCTGTAATGTACAGGCAAAGATTTAAAAACCTAGTATACAGCAAGATATATTTTCTGGCATGCTACAGATTTTATAAATTTTAAATACTTTTTTTCTTTTTTCAGAGATGGAGTCTTGCTGTGTCACCCAGAACTGGAGTGCAATGGCTTGATCTCGGCTCACTGCAACCTCCACCCCCTGGGTTCAAGCAATGCTTCTGCCTTAGCCTCCCAAGTAGCTGGGATTACAGACACATGCCATCACGCCTGTCTAATTTTTGTATTTTTAGTAGAGACAAGGTTTCACTGTGATGACCAGGCTGGTCTCGAACTCCCGACCTCGTGATCCACCTGCCTCGGCCTCCCAAAGTGCTGGGATTACAGGTGTGAGCCACCACACCCAGCCAATTTTAAATATTTTTATATTTAAAAAGGAAATCTATAATCAGTGCATACCACCTTCTGGCATCCCCTGTGCTTTTTGCTTTCTAGCACTAAGAACTTCCTTTGCTGAAACAAAGAAGATACGATTCTGTGCTTCCAAAGCATTTACAACTTTGAGCTCCTCCACCAAGAAATGTAGGCATCTTTCCATGTGCTGTCTGCGTACCTACAGAGAAAAGGGTATTAAAAGAATTCTAATAATTCAAACAAATATAACCAATGACTACAAGCCTATACTAACTTCATTTACACTGCAACAATAAAAATTACCATATAACTAACGACGTCAAGAAATTCTAATAAATGAACTTTGATACTTGATGACAGAAAATCTTTCTCTTAACAATTCTGTCTTTCGAACATTTACTTAAAATTCTGCTGAGCGATGTGACTTATGCCTGTAATCCCAGCACTTTTGGAAGCCGAGGCGGGCTGATCATCTGAGGTCAAGAGTTCAAGACCAGCCTGGCCAACATGGCAAAACCCTGTTTCTAGTAAAAACACAAAAATCAGCTGGGTGTGGTGGCATGCGCCTGTGATCCCAGCTACTAGGGAGGCTGAGGCAGGAAAACTGCTTGAACCTGGAAGGTGAAGGTTGCAGTGAGCTGGGATCACGCCATTGCACTCCAGCCTGGGTGACAGAGCAAGGCTCCATCTCAAAAAAACAAAACAAAACAAAAAATCCCTGCTGAGTTAAGGCCGGGGAGAATGCATTAACCAGGAATTAGGATTGCAGTGTTGGGTTTAAGATGACCACTTGGGCACTGAAGTGCAGATTAAGAGTTAGAATTTAGGGTTTAGTACTAGTCTTTAGCATTATGGCTATGATAAGGTATCTCTAAGTTAAGACTTGCAAAAATTAATCTAAATAGGAATCCTGAAATATCTGAGGAAAAATAATTTGTGAGTGATACTTCCTACGCCTCCAATGATTATATGAGACCTCTATTGAAAGAGCATGACTGTAAGACAACAGTTAATGACAGGAGAATGTAAAACTTGATGTTAAGCAAAATTCCAATTGGGAAGATATGAAAGCAAATAATTTAACATGTCAACAGTGATGGGATAGTTTAGGTTATTTTTATCTTGTCCTCTACATATAATAATTTCGTACTACTATTAAAATCAGATATAGTGTCAAGCAAATTAAATATTATTTATAGTACAAATTCCAGATACTCTAATCTTTTTAAGTTTCTATAATTGGTGTGACTAAAATGCCAAAAAGAAAAGTTGAGGATGCAAATCTCACGAAACTCAATCGGCTGGCAGGAGAATAAATCAACACCAAGCACTCTGGAGAACTCTGGTGCTGTTTCCTAAAATCAAACATGTTGTTAACTTGTAATCCAGCAATTTTGCCTCTAGGTACATATACCCATGGTTTACTAACCTCTGCATTACTGATGTTTTGGATTGGCCAATGTTTGTCTGGGGGCCTGTTCTGTGTCAGAGGATGTATAACAGCATCTCTAACCTCTACTCACTAGATGCCAGGAGCACAAAAGCGCAGTTGTAACAACAGCAGCAACAACAACAACAAAATATCTTCAGATACTGCCAAATGTCCCCTGGGAGTCAAAACTGTCCAAACTCCACAGTGGGAACCACCTAACAAAAATGCACACACAGGCACACCAAAGGACATACACAAGCATATGCACAGAAGCATTCATAACTAAATATAGGAAATTAACCCAAATGCCCATCACTGTGAACAAATCAACTGTAGTAGTCACAGATGGAATACTATACAGCAATGAGAATGCAATACAACACAACTATGCTATGCACAATAATATGGACACATATGATAATTAAATGAAAAAAAAAGATGCAAAAGCAGGTATTACGTGATTCTGTTATATAAAGTTGAACCAGAAAGATTAATTTATGGGGTCAGAAGTCATGATAAGCAGATAATTTCTCCTTGGGAAGTAGGACAAAATGGAATTTGGAAGGGTATTAGTAAGAGGGGGGACTCTCGGGTGTTCAGAATGGTCTGGATCCTGACACAGGTGTGTTAAATTTGTAAAGTTTGCCAGACATGGTGGCTCACACCTGCCATCCCAGAACTTTAGGAGGCCAAACTGGAAGGATCATTTATGATTTATGTATTTTTCTGTTATCTACATTTCAATAAAAACTTAAAAAGAAGTTTCAAGCTTTGAAATAACTAGATAGTGTAACACAATTTTCCCTCAAAGTAACTTCATAACTTGGTCTTCATCATGTACCTACTTTAGGTTTTCTCTAACTATAATCTTTTCATGAAATAGTTCTTAAATTTTCTATTCTTTAAGCTATATTGTTTTCTCAAATAATATACAAGACTGTATTTAAAAACCTACAAAAAAAATAACTTACATCTTCCATGTATTCTGGCTCTGAGGCAGAGGCATCCCAACGATTATTGAGAATGAAAATATTAGGCTTGGAAAGCCGCTCATTCACCTTGTGAAAAAACTGTTTTTCCTGAAAAGCAAAAAAAAACCCCACAGTACGTTCACTATAATTTATATTTATAATTGAAATTTTATTTTAATGAGAAACTGTTAACCATTTAGACAACAGTAATTAACACTACTGACAAAGGATCCCAAAGCACTTTATGAGTATTAACTTTCAAAGATGAAAAAACTGATAAATAACAATTTTTAAAACTCATGTTACAGTTTTGAATATTAGATTATCCAATATAATCTAGACATTAAAGATAGATTCTATTAGATAATCTAGATAGATGTCTAGATAACAGGTTATATTATATTAGATATAACCTATCTAATATAATAAACTCTGGAAAGTTTATTTCAGATGAGTCTGGCTCCAGACATTCTGGATAAATAATCTACTAGGTCTGACAGCAGCTTGAAGTGTACACAGGTAAGCTGAAACCTAGAATATATTCTGGTGAAGCTGGAAATGGCTGGCAATACTGAAAATATAAAAAGACTTGCCTGACAGACGGCAGGGAGAAGGAGTGGTTTCTACTTTACTCAAGAGACTTAAATAAGCATCCTAAAATTTCTGGCACTCATTCTCCCTGAGACTGGCAAATAACCAGAAGCTAGAGCCATCAAGCCCTGTGTCACTAGAGAAATCCAAGGAACTGCACACTATGGAAAGACTAGAAACAGCCCTTCTGCTTCTATGAAAACACAAACCCCTTCATTATGCCTGTTTTTAGAAGTTCTTTCTAATCCATGATTTGGATTTCCTTTGCTTTTCAGAATTAAAAGACACTGTTTCATTTCCTACTACCGAAACACAGTATTATGATTAAATCCTACCGTATTCATTAGTGTTGATTCAGAGTTTGCAACCAAAACGAAGACATCAGCATCTAGGCAAAACTTATCAATCCAGCTATCCAGCTCTGTGGTAACATCTGTGCCTGGACTAATGAGAGTGAAATAAAAATTGTATCATATTTCTTGTCATGAACATCTCCTCTCTCCTGTTTCCATTGATTACTTGAAACAGTCATTTCCATTTAAAAGAAAAACCCATTATCAAAACCAAAATGGAGCCAGGTGTGGTGGCTGGTGTGTGCCTGTTATCCCAGCTACCCAGGAGGCTGAGGTGGGAGAATCACTTGTGCCTAGGAGGCAAAGGTCGCAGTGACCCAAGATCGTGGTACTGCGGCACGGCACTCCAGCCTGGGGCTCAGACCCAGACCCTGTTTCCAAAATAATAATAATGATAATGAAACACATAATAAATGTAGATTAGTCAAAAGCACTGTAAACTATTCTATTAATTACTGAAAAACAAAAATGTAAACTATCCAACAAAGTTATTTTGTGAAACTTTGTCAAGTACCAACTCACTATTAGTTAAGAAAAATATTTATTTAAAGTTATCTAGAGGTCTAGAGTTAGGTAATTTCTAAATCCTAACCACTTACTCAAAATACAGAATTTAAAAAAAAGTAGCTATCCTTAAAATTTCTTGAAATAGAATCAGAATGATGAACTGACACTTTTATGTAACTTATAAAATAAAACCAATACCTCATCTGTTCATAATCTAGCTAATGAGAACAAAGTAGTAACTGAAATGTTTTAATTAATTTTTTTTTTTTTTTTTTTTTGAGATGGAGTTTCGCTCTTGTTACCCAGGCTGGAGTGCAATGGCGCGATCTTGGCTCACGGCAACCTCCGCCTCCCGGGTTCAGGCAATTCTCCTGCCTCAGCCTCCTGAGTAGCTGGGATTACAGGCACGTGCCACCGTGCCCAGCTAATTTTTTTGTAGTTTTAGTAGAGACTGGGTTTCACCATGCTGACCAGGATGGTCTCGATCTCTTCACCTCGTGATCCACCCGCCTCGGCCTCCCAAAGTGCTGGGATTACAGGCGTGAGCCACCGCGCCCAGCTAATTTTTTATACCATATGCTAAAGTAAGCAGTATTATACTATTAAATAAACCTTCAGAGAAAATGCAATCCACATGTAACTTTACCTGTCTACTAACACCAGGTCATCCCTCAAGAGAGCACATTTTGCTTTCGGCCAAAACACATGTACAAGACAGCCAGCTTTCAAGTCTTTGTCCATGTGAAGGGCATGGGCCAGTTGATTAACTGTCTAAAGCATGAGGAAAAGAAGAAAAATAAACTCCACTTGTGATAAAATACAATACAAATTAAAAACACTATAGTACATTTATTTTAGCAAAACAGGTATATAAAAGGTAAAACTCTGAAATAAAAACCTGAGCAATCTTAAGAACCTGAGTTTTTAAATTTCCAAGATGGGGGGAAGAAAATGGTTCCCTCAAAAAGAACTCCAGCAATGGAATCCTAAGCAACACCTGATAAGAATACTGGTTTTGCGAAGTATGTAAGTTCTGGAGTCTATGCTCTTTTTGCTTATTTGTATTTTCTGGTTCTACTGAAATAAATGTCTATGACTTAGCCACACAGAAGAAATGTCATTATTAAAATCGGTTAAAATTAAGTAGATTTTAACATCCCACAGAAAGGAATGAAATCATGTTCTCTGCTGCAACACTGATGGAGCCGCAGGCCATTAACCTAAGTCAATTAACACAGAAACAGAAAACCAAATACTGCATGTTCTCACTTTAAAGTGTGAGCTGGCCGGGCGCAGTGGCTCACATCTGTCATCCTAGCACTTTGGGAGGCTGAGGGGGATGGATCACCTGAGCTCCGGAGTTCAAGACCATCCTAGCCAACATGGTGAAACTGTCTCTACTAAAAACACAAAAATTAGCCAGGTTTAGCAGCATGCGCCTGTAGTCCCAGCTACTCAGGAGGCTGAGGCAAGATAATTGCTAGAACCCAGGAGGCAGAGGTGCAGTGAGCTGAGATCGCATCACTGCATTCCAGCCTGGACGACAGAGTGAGACTCTGTCTCTAAAAAAAAAAAAACTGAGTGCTAAACACTCGGTACACACAGAAATAAAGACGGAACAGTAAACACTGGGAAATTACAGGGGTAAAGTACAAGGTGACAAGAGCTGAAAAACTGTTGAATACTACATTCACTATGTGGGTGATGGGTTCAAATGAAGCCCAGAGCTATGCATCACACACTATATCCATGCAATAATCCTGTACATGTAACCCCTGAATCTAAAATGAGGAGGAAAAGAGTGTGAATAGGACTGAAGAGCACAGATCAGGAAAATGAGAGATGATTTCTTTAAAATAACACAGCACTTTGAGACTGTAAAGTCACGAGAAGTTTGAACTTTAATTTGCTAAAAATCTTAATTACAAAATAATAGCGATTCCTACATTTATATTAATTAAAAGCTTGATTATGAATTTCTTTTCTTTTTGAGACAGTATCTTGCGCCATTGCCCAGGCTGAGTGATCACAGCTCACTGCAGCCTCAACCTCCCAGATTCAAGCAATCCTCCTATCTCAGCCACTTGGGTAGCTGGAACTATAGGCATATGCCACTATGCTTGCCTAATTTTTGTAGAGATGGGATCTCACTATATTGCCCAGGCTGGTCTCAAGCAATCCGACCATCTCAAGAGCTAGGATTGCAAGCATGAGCCACTATGCCCAGCCTTGAGTAGTATTTTCATAAACATCATCTCATTTTTCTAATAAGTGATCTGAAGTGTATGCTTACTCTGAAACTTAAAGATTGAGTCACCTGATTCACATCAGAGAGCAAATTCACAGAACAAGAACCACCCATGACTTTACCTACAGTTTACCAAGAAATAAAAGAACATGGATCTTCAACACTGAACTTTTGTGTTTGTCGAAGAGATCTCTAGACTCAAGAGAAAGTGATTGCAATGAGAAACAGTGCCTTAACCCACTGCTGAGTCCAGAGTCAACAGCTTGCATCCTAATTTGTTTTCCCTTTTATTCTTTTTTTGGCTGAAGCAGTCTACTAGAACTGAATTGAGAATTTTTTTTTTTTTTTTAGACAGAGTCTTACACTGTCATCCAGGCTGGAGTGCAGAGGCACAATCTCAGCTCACTGCGACTTCCACCTCCTGATTTCAAGTGATTCTCCTGCCTCAGCCTCCTGAGTAGCTGGGATTACAGGCGTGTGCTACCACGTCCAGCTAATTTTTGTACTTTTAGTAGAGATGGGGTTTCACCATGTTGGTCAGGCTGGTATCGAACTTTTGACCTCGTGATCCGCCCTTCTCGGCCTCCCAAAGTGCTGGGATTACAGGTGTGAGCCACCACGCCCGGCCTGAAATGAGAAATTTATGAAAGGTAGGGAACTGCCATTGGCCCTCATCTGATAAAATACTTATTCATGAGTATGAATATGCTTACTATATACTCCTGAGGTAAGATAGTTTCTGAAAACACAAATATATATCAAAAACAGATTCCAGGGGCCAATTTCTTAAACAATTCTATCTTAAAAAGACAAATCTGAAGCCAGTCATGGTGGCACATGACTGTAACCTCAGCATTTTGGGAGCCCAAGGTGGGACAAACTTGAGATTAAAAAGCAACAATACTCTTCAATAATGTTAGTCTCACTGGGAGGGTAGATTTAAAACACTTGTAATTCTAAAAAACCTTTAAATTAAGGACAGGTTTTATTCTTCCACTAATTTAGCCATGAAGTAAACAAAAAAAATTTAGAGAACTCAAAATATTTAGTGATGGCTTTTTTTTATTTTTGAGATGGAGTCTCGCTCTGTCACTCTTGCTGGAGTGCAGTGGTACAATCGTAGCTCACTGCAACCTTCGCCTACTGGGTTCAAGCAATTCTCCCACCTCAGCATCCCAAGTAGCTGAGACTCCAGGCGCCTGCCACCACACTTGGCTAATTTTTGTACTTTTACTAGAGATGGGGTTTCACCATATTGGCTAGGCTGGTCCCCAACTCCTGACCTGTGATCTGCCCACCCTGGCCTCCCAAAATGCTGGGATTACAGGTGGGAGCCACTGCGCCCGGCCTATTGATGGCTTTCAAAGAAATATTAACAGTTCTTTTTGGCCAGGTGCCGCGGTGCGTTGCCTGTAATCCTAGCACTTTGGGGGGCTGAGGCAGGCAAATCATCTAAGGTCAGGAGTTTGAGACCAGCCTGGCCAACGTGGTGAAACTCCATCTCTACTAAAAAAATAATAATACAAAAATTAGCCGGGTGTGGTGACAGGTGCCTGAAATCCCAGCTACTCGGGAGGTTGGGGCGGGAGAATCGCTTGAACCCGGGAGGCAGAGGTTTCAGTAGGCTGAGATCACACATGGCACTCCAGCCTGGGCAACAGAGTGAGACTCCATTTCAAAAAAAAGGAATATTAACAGTTCTTTTCATGAGATGTCAGCAATGTAGACATCTATGAAAATGTTATTAAAGAATAAGTTAAGGATATTGTTTCAGGTATATTATGCTGCCAAGGTTAAATATCATACCTTCACACTCTTTTTTTCATCTGATCCTTCTGTCATAAGATAGGCTTTATCTCCATCGGTTCCTTCGACACTTAGGAAGCAATTGGTTATGTGGCCAATCCCACTAGGGAGAACTTTATCCCACAGCATTGCATTTATAACAGAGCTCTTCCCACTGCTTGTCCTGAAGAATATACAAAATCATGAAAAACAAAACAGTAAAAAAATTTGTTCTTTCACTGGGTCTAATATCATTTTTTTAAAAATCCAAATTTTGTTAAAATTTCTTAAGACTGCCCTTTTGCGGCCATCACCTAAGCAGGAGCTGCCAAAAGGAAGTTCAATCCCTTTGTGACTTCCAAACAAAGAATCTCAAAAGGCATTTCAATGCACCTTCCCACATTCGCAGGAAGATTATGTCCCCCCTCTTTCCAAAGAGCTGAGACAGAAGTACAATGTGCGATCCATGCCCATCCGAAACGATGATGAAGTCCAGGTTGTACGAGGACACCATAAAGGTCAGCAGATTGGCAACGTAGTCCAGGTTTACAGGAAGAAATATGCAATCTACATTGAACGGGTGCAGCAGGAAAAGGCTAATGGCACAACTGTCCATGCAGGCATTCACCCAGCAAGGTGGTTGTCGCTAGGCTGAAACTGGACAAAGACCACAAAAAGATCCTTGAACAGAAAGCCAAATCTCGCCAAGTAGGAAAGGAAAAGGGCAAATACAAGGAAGAAACAATTGAGAAGATGCAGGAATAAAGTAACCTTATATACAAGCTTTGATTAAAACTTGAAACGAGGAAAAAAAATTTCTTAAGACTGCATTTTGATGAAAAAATTAACCAGTTGGCTTACACAAATATTAGCAATGTACATTTCAGAAAAAATAAAACAAACGAAAACAAATCCCACTTTCTCATAGTGCTATCCTCAACTTTTCTTTCTTGCTTTTTGTGGCAACTTGAAATCATAGGTCAAAATTCTGTGACACTACTCCTGTCACACAATGGCGTTTAATACCCCATCTCCTGAAGTCTGGCTGGTTTGTGACTGCTTCAACAAATAATGCACGTCAGAAGTGACACTAGGTGGCCAGACGCAGAGACTCACGCCTGTAATCCCAGCACTTTGGGAGGCCGAGGTGGGTGGATCACTTGAGGTCAGGAGTCCGAGACCAGCCTGACCAACATGGTGAAACCCCATTTCTACTAAAAATACAAAATATTAGCCGGGCATGGTGGTGGGCACCAGTAATCACAGCTACTTGGGAGGCTGAGGCAGGAGAATCGCTTGACCCAGGAGGTGGAGGTTGCAGTGAGCCAAGATCAGATCATGCCACTGCACTTCAGCCTGGGCAACAGAGCCAGACTCCACCTCAAAAAAAATAAAAAGACCAGGTCATAAAAGGCAATGCAGCTTCTGTCTTGTTCACTGGAATATATGCACTTGGCACCCTGCCATGTAAAAAGTCCTCTTACCCTGAGTATGCCATGCTGCAAGGAAGCTAAAGGGAGAAGTCTAGGTGGGTGCTCTACTGAACAGCCCTAATCTGTGTCATTCCAGCCCAGGTACCAGACATGTGAGAGGTTATTCCAACCCTCAGTTGTTGAGCCATCCCAAACTTCATGTCTTCTCAGTTAAGGCCCCAGAGTCCATGGAGCAAAGACAAGACATTCCCGCTGTGCCCTATCTGTGTTCCTGACTCACAGAATCAGTGAGCATAATAAAATGGCTGTTAAGAGGCTAAATTCTGGGTAATTTGTTACGCAGTCGCAGTAAAAAGAGCACTTCTAATGGCTCTGAAATGCAAAGAACTCACACTCACTTCAGGGACTTGCTTTCCACTAAGTCAACCCAAGTCCCAGATAACACTGGCAGCCTTTTGGTTCACTGCAAAAAAAAGCATTCTATCTTTTTGGCATATGCTTTACCTCTTTCCTTCAGCATAAGAGGGAAAGAACTTTTCTTATGTTATGGATATTATTCCCAACTCCCTTCCCAGGGAACCTTCTTTCTTTCATGAGCTCAGCATTAGCTTCCACTGCCACTATACCACAACCTGCAAGGACGCCTATCATTGCTCTGAAAATTCATCTTTCTGGACATTTCGTGAAGCCTTGCCATGATCCCCAGGGGGCTGACATGCCAGGTTCAGTACAGAAATGTAGCTACAGCTCATTATTAATCAGGCTGCACCTTGGCCCACTTCCTTGTTGCTAACTGTCATGTAGAACTAGATACAGACGATTTGCACGACCATTCTTCCTTGGATCTCTAACATTAGAATCATAATACTTTTAAGGATAGCTAAAGGATGGCTATTTGTCAGGCCCCAAAATCCAGCAGTTTGAAGACCACCCCCCCCCCACAGAGGAATGGGATGGATCAGCATACAAATACAGCCTAGCTTCATTACCACCCTGTCCATGACTTCATTCTGCAAGTTCCAACCATTTATCAACGATCTCTACACTTTGGACACTCCAAAAACCTTAAAAACCCTAACCTCAAATCCTTGGGGAGATGGATGGAGGTTCCCTCCCATCTCCTCATTTGGTGACCCTAAGATTAAACCTCTTCTCTGCTGCAACCTGGTGTCTCAGCATATCAACTTGCTGCATGCACTGGGCGATGAATCTATCATGGTTACAGTGTGGGGCTCCTGCCCCACACCAAGAATCATCTGGGGAGCCCATTAATGATGCAGATTCCTCAAGTGCACTGTGAAACTAAAGAATCAAGACTCTGGGGGTGCTCTCAGGGTGATTCTTATGTATATTAAAATGTGAGACACACTGTCACCCTGTCTTCCTCAAACAAACAAAAAACAACTGTGGAAAAAGAAACCTTTCTCTTCTACTATCAAAATCAACACAGAACATTTCTAACTACATGTATGGGCATTTTTCCACATGCACAAAGCAGTTTTCCAGCAGACACCAACCGGGTGCCCTACCTTTCAATTCATTTCTACCTTCCTCCAACTCAGGTTCAATGTCGGAACAGCTCACAGAGCTCAGGGAAGCACTATACTTACATTTACTGGTCTATTATAAAGGACATTATAAGCGACACAGACGAGATGCCTGAGCATTCGTACCGTTTCATCATGCCAGTCTCCCAGCAGAAACTTGAGTTTAGTTACCTGGAAGTCCAATCTTGTTCAAGAGTTTTTATAAAGCCTCATTTTTAGCCTGTCCTCCCCCACCCTTCCTGGAAATTGAGGGGCAAATTTCCAATCCTCTAATCCCCTGATCACTGGTCAAAATTCTGTAATCAGGGGATCACTTAGCATTTCAGGTGACCAGTCCCACTCTGAAGTTATTTAGGCGCCCCAACCTAAACTATTCACTAGCATAAATTCAAGTGTCCTCAAAAAGGGCTCATTATGAAAACAAGATATTCCAATCAGGAAATTAGTATGGTTTTAGAAGCTCTGTGACAAGAATGGGACAAAGATCAAATATATATCGTTTTATATCATACCAATGCTTTCTCATTTCCCTTTTATCTGGCTGGCATTTCTTTTTTTGAGATGGAGTCTAGCTCTGTGGCCCAGGATGGAGTGCAGTGGTGTGATCTCAGCTCACTGCAACCTCTGCCTCCTGGGTTGTGGCAATTCTCCTGCCAAGGCCTCCCAAGTAGCTTCAATTACAGGTGTGTGCCACCATACACAGTTAATTTTTCTATTTTTAGTAGAGATATAAGACAGTTTATTAGGCTGCTCTACTGGTTGTTTTAGCAAGGTAAGAGAAGTATCAAAGATCACTTGGTGACTGAGTGCCATTCACTGAAGTGGGTGTTTGGAAATTAAGTTTAGGTCAGGACAAAAGCAACTGCATTTTTTGCCATTGTATTTTAT